CCCAGGGAGGGGGCTCAGTGGTAGAGCCCCTGCCTAGAATCCCCCAGTGAGGGGCTGGGGTGTGGCTCAGTGGTAGAGCCCCTGCCTAGAATCCCCCAGTGAGGGGCTGGGGTGTGGCTCAGTGGTAGAGTCCCTGCCTAGAATCCCCCAGTGAGGGGCTGGGGTGTGGCTCAGTGGTTTACACTTGTCTAACATGCACGGTGTCCTAGGTTTCGTTACCAGCACTGTTAAAGAAAATAGAGACGCTTAGTGATTATGCTGTCTAGTCTTTATGTCAACTTGATACATGCTAGAGTTATCTGAAAGGAGGAACCTCAACTGAAAAAAAATGCCTGCTTAAGATCCAGTTGTAGGGCATCTTCTTAATTAGTGAGTGATCCTTAATTAGTGACTAGTGATCCCTGGGCTGGTGGTCCTGGGTGCTATAAGAAAGCAAGCCGAGCAAGCCATGAGGAGCAAGCCAGTAAGCAGCACCATTCCATGGCCTCTGCATCAGCTCCTGCCTCCAGGTTCCTGCCCCGGTTGAGTTCCTGTCCTGACTTCCTTCAATGATGAACAGTAATATGGAAGTGTAAGCTACATAAAACCTCTCCTCCGGAAGTCATTCTAGCCATGGTGCTTCACCCAGCAACAGTGACCCTGAGGCAGTGCTATTCTGGGAGGAAGCAAACTGAATTCACAGTTCGAGCTGCCAGCCATGCCTAGGCCCTGAGGTGTCTATGGTGCAGTTTTCACTTTATGATGAAAGATAAATTAACTCGTGTTTCAAAACCAGCATTGTGAACCCACGGAAAGCAGAGCTCCTGGGCCTGGTGAACCGGCTCAGCAAGTTACCAAGGCTCTTGCCATCACATCTGCTCACCTGAGTTCCATCCCTGAGACCCACCCATGGTGGAAGCAGAGAACTGATTTCAGTAAGTTGTTCTGTGAACTTCAAATGCATGCGCACATGGACACATGCACACACCCCCCCCCCCCCCCACCCCCCCCCCCCCACACCCACACTCCCACACACACAAATAAGTAAAGAAATACAATTTTAGGAGAACAAGGAGCCGTGTCTGGAGTCCCAGCTTTGCCTTCCACAGAAGGGATGCAGATCTGCCCACTCAGCCAACTGCAGGGCAGTAGGGTGACAAAGCCACCTTAGTGACAAATGGCAGCCACTGTCATCAATGTCAGTGATGCCGAGACATAGTTGTGAGATACTGCAGAAAGGTATCTTTTCTTTCTTTGCTTTTTAAAGATAAGATCTCCACATGTAGCCCAGGCTGGCCTGGAACTCACTATGTAAGGCTAGCCTCAAACTTGCAACAATCCCCCTGCTTCTGTCTCCAGAGTACTGGTACTACAGGCATGAGCCACCATACATGGTGGGACTACTCATTGTGATCTGCTGGCTGTCCTTAAGCCTGGCCAGGGCTTTGCCTGAGGCAGAATAATGTTACCCAGTGAGCTTTTAATATGCGTCCCTGGACAACAGAGTTCATGTTGGACTGCTCCACCCATAGTCCCTCATAGATGTCCATTTCAGGACAAGGTCTGTGGTTTCCACACAGGAGAAGAAACCATTTCAGGTTTCCATTAGCTATCGGGACGAATGCTCTGAGGAAGGTGACAGGAGTGGGAGGAGAAGCCCTAGTTCCCTACCCCTGTGGTGGCATTGACCACGAACCTGAACAAATCTCTATCTCCAAAGCTACTTACATTCTGATTCATAACAACAGCAAAATCAGTTATGAAGTAGCAACGAAAACAACTATGGCAGAACGAGGTGAGGAGGGGCTGCACTGAGGGCCGCGGCCGCGGCGTTAGGGAGGTTGAGAAGCGCTGCTCTAGGGGAAGGTGAACTTCCTCACATCTGTGCTGTGAGTTCAGTTCTCCACAGGGGTGGGAACAAGGCTGGGTTTCTGGGCAGGCTTTGGGCTGGGACTGTTCCAGCTTCTAGAAGCTTCTGACCACCCAGGCTCTTGACAGCAGCCACTGTGAGCTGAGCCCTCTCTCTCCTCCCACCTGACCCTCTGACTCACTCCATGGATCTGTCTCATTAGATGAGGCCTAGTGGGGGCATAGATCATGTCTTCCTCTTCAGCTCCTTCATCTTGGTCACACTACAGATCATTCTTCGCCACACACAGTGACCTATAAAGAGCCCAGGGACTACCCGTAGCACCCATGGGATTGATTATCCAGCCTGGTGTGGGGGTGGACAGTTGAGGAACTAAACAACTCCATGAGTTACCAAAGGAATGTGAGAGTTTTCCAGGTGCAGAGCCTAGGCCACCTTGACTTGGTTTATAAGCCAGTGACCCTGGAGTCAGCATGGTCTTGTCTGCACTTGTCCCCTGGTGCCCTCCTACCTGGATGAGCTGAGCACTGGGAGTGGCCAGCAGATGCAGGGTGCAGGAAAGCTTCCGAAAGAACCGCTCAGCAGGTGCCCCGAGGCCAGCGCTCCGGGCCCACTCCAGGAACTGCTGCAGGCGGGCACACACCTGGACACCCCTGGGCCAATGGAAGCAACTCAGAGAGGGTCCTGGAGAGGGAGGAAAGCAACTCAGAGAGGGTCCTGGAGAGGGAGGAAAGGATGAGACCCACCAAGGCTCCCAAAGCCTCTGCAGGCCACACTAACACCTATTGCAACGTCCAAGATAATGCAGACTACCCACAGTCCCTCGGGGCCGAGGGAGAAAGAGATGAAGGAGGCCAGGTCCAAGGTATGCAGGGCGGTGACAGCCACCAGCCCTACCCCTCCCACCCTACACCACCAGCACATGCTGCAAGCTTTGTCCTTCCTGGGTTCTGAGCTGTCCTCCTCAGCCAGGCAGAGTCCCCTTGAGGCACATTTAGCCTCCTCAGAGGAACCCAGGTCCCATCCCCCACATCACTCACCCTTGTCCAGGACCTGGTTGAGGAGCAGTGTGCCAGAGAAGAAGAAGAGATAAGCCAGCATCTGGGAGGCCACTTCAGGATGCATCTGCAGCTGCCGCAGGAGGTCCATGGTGGCCTGGAACACCGACACCACACGCCGAAGCTCCTCAGGCAGAGCGGGGCTTGAGCGCCAGCTCTCCCTGCGCTCTGTCTGAAATGGGGGGCATTCCAAGAGGGCCGGGAGGCAGACATACAGGCACTGCAGGGAGAGAGAAGCCCAAGAGCCACTGACAGGGATGCTGGGACTGCTCCGGAGCCCCAAACGTAACAAGCCTAAGGCAACAGGATGGAATGAGGCCCAGCAGGAGTTGACCTGGGACTAATAGAAGTAGGGACTGGAGCTGCAGGTGCCAACGGGGCTGGACATGGCAGTCACCTAGCAGTGCTGACTGATGGTGCACTATGACCGATGACCACCAGGCTGGACTATGGGGGCATTTCTGTTACAGGGAAGACCAGGAGCAAGGGATACACGGAGGGCCAGAGTGGAACCAGCGGCTGCTTCCTCCCTGCTGAAGCTGGCTCATCCCAGTTCATTCCCTCCTGCCCCAAGGCCCTAGGAGGGCAGCACACACCTTGGAGAGGTAATAGACACACTGCTGGAAAGCATACAGTACCACCTCCTCCAGGGCGGCCATGGCCTCCTCACTGGCCGTCAGTGTGCAGGAGAACAGCGACTCCTTGGAGCCTGCAGGGGAAGGGGCCACAAGAGGAAGCTCACCAGCACAGTGTGCACATGTGGGCCCACCCAGCCAGCAGCAGCAGCCAGGACTCCATCATCTGCCTGGCTGCCTGCTGGGGATCTGCCTGGATGCCAACACTCCCCTCTGGCTTTAGAGGTATGGAGATCCCAAACCCGTCCCAGGCAGTCACACTGACAGGCAGAGCTGGAGAGCAGAGCAGACACATGTGGTCATGCTACTAAGACAGACCAGAAGTTTGTCTTTCCTTCCATCCTTTCCACTTCTTCTGTTTTTCCTCCTTTCCTCCCTTCTCTCCTTTCCTTTTTAATCCCTTCCTCCCCCTTGCTATGTCATACAGGCCTCTACTACTGGGCTTCTCTCCCTCTCCCTCTCCCTCTCCCTCTCCCTCTCCCTCTCCCTCTCTCTCTCTCAGGTGCCCAGTGTAACAATGAACTATGAACTCACTCTGTAGCGTACCAAGACTACTTGAGCCTACAACTGTCCTGCCTCAGTCTCCCAAGTGCCCGGGTTAAGAGACCCCAGCTGCCAGGTTATGTTCTCCATCAGAACTGGCTATTCCATAGCACCAAGCCCAACCCAGCCCTGAAGGTCATCTTTAATGACAACAGTTAAAAGGCTTGTACATCAGCCCCTTGGGAGGCTGTCACATGGCTGTTACGTCAAAACACTCTCAAGAAATAGGAAACCTCCTAGCACTCAGGAGGCAGAGACCAGCCTGATCTACGCAGCAAGCTTCAGGCCAGCCAGGGCTATACAGTGAGACCCTGTCAGCAAAACAAAACAACAAAACCACAAACCAAACCAAACAAAACCCAAAAAACAAAAAACAAAAAAAAACAAACAAAAGAAAAAACAAAAAAACCCAAAAAAACCCCAATAAACTAAAAAGAACGAAAAAGGGGGATGGAGGCCTGGAGGGCTGCTGACCCAAGCACCTGAAGATCCAGATTCCCCTCACCCCTGGATGCAGGGACAAAGAGTGGGCTGACAAGAAGAAGAACAGGGTCAGTACACTCCAACATGGTTCTAAGACACCCAGGTAGACACCTGGGATGTAACTGCCACAAAGCCACAGGGGCCCCAGGACCAGCGTCCCTCAGCACTGAGGAAACCAGCCTCACGTTATAGGCACCCACAAAGGACACTACATAGACATGACGAACACTGCCTCTCTCTTCAGCTTGGGCCTTCAGTAGCAGGGTCACAAGGTCCCTACTGTACCCAGGATAGGTCTAAACAGCCCAGTGGCCCCACTGATACAAGAGGAGTGAGAGGCTTTGATACTGTCATGGCAGAGCAAAGCTTCTGGCCTCAGGTCCCCAGATGCACAGTCAGGACATGGGACCCACGACAGGTCATCCATCCTGGGCTCCTGGCTCTGTCAAACGCTCCCAGGCTATCTCTAGCATAGAGGCATTAACAGACACATAGACACGTATCAATAAAACCACCCAGGGCCTGGCCCCACTTCACCACCTTTTAATCTTTTTGTCTGGTGTGTGTGTGTGTGTGTGTGTGTGCACGCGCGCGTGTGCACGTGCACATACATGCATGTTTGCATACACATGTCTGGAGACCAAAAACCCACCTCCAGTGTCATTACTTGGGGCTATCCACCTTGGTTTTCCAGACAGGGCCTCTCCCTAGGGCTCACTGCTTAGGCTAGGCCAGCCAGCGGAGAGCCCAGGAGCCTCCTGTCTTCTAGGATTATGAGTGTGGGGCGACACACGGGGACTTACCACCCTTGGCTTTTTACTGAAACGCTGAGGATGGCACTCCGGTTCTCGTGCTTGTACAGTTGGCACTTTACCAACTGAGCCACTTCCCCAGCACAGCTCACAATGTCACCTTCATAGATCTCCCCCACCCCACCCCGATCCATCCCACCCCTCAGCAGAACCACCTCTCCTGGAGTGGTATAGGAATTTGAGTATTTGGTAATGCTAATTTCAGACACACTACCCGTATTTCCACCTCTGAAGCTGATATGCTCTACCACCTTACCGCTCCGACTGGAAGCATTCTTCCTTTCTGGAATCCTGGGGCATCTCTAAGCCCCTCCCTCTAAGTGGCCTGTGCATACCTTCAGCCTCCCACAAGCAGACCAGAGCAAGCTACAGTGTGCATGGGGCATGAGACAACACGGAGCGGCAAAATGTCATACGGCATGCCCTAGGGGCACCAGGTCTGCCTAAACCACTGCTGGCTCCATGAGTGATCCCCACATGACTGGCCTGGGGGTCAAGAAGGCTCCATCCTGTGTGAGCACATGTGCATGAAGCTGCCTCTGTGCCTACTGCCAACTGTGCCTGAACACGGTGCTGAGCCTGGGTTACAACGTGGGCCATACCTGTGACATCCAGCTCCTCCTCCATGCTCTGCATGTACAGTGGGGACTTCTGCTGGATGAAGTACAGGAGCTCGATGGAGTTTGACATCCAAAACAGGATGTGTTGGAGGTCGGGAACCAGGTCGGCCATGGGGAAGCTGGCCCAGGAGATGGGCTCCTGGCTACCAAGACAGAGAGACTAACAGATTACCCTGGATGCAGATGAGGAGCCGCAGCTGCTGCTCTGTGTGCATGGGGACAGTCATCTCATGGGGCACTAACAGAAGCAAGTACCGTTGTCAACTTCCTAGAAGCCAGGAACCTATGACAGGCTCCAAAATCTAATGCAAAGGACATCCAGGCAGCCCGGGCACAGGAGAAGACTCTAGCAAGGGTGCTGCCTGAGCAGCTTTTCTTCTGGAAACACGTGCTGAGCAGCTGTGAATGCTAGAGCACTGTGTACCATATACACACACTCACGGATAGCCTGTATGTAGCAGGGCTGACTAGCCATGGCTTTGGGGACAAAACCTGAGTATGAGTATGTTATTTAGACAAAGAAATAGGAGCTGTAAGATTACTTGACCTGGCAGTTCTCAGAGGAGGCAGACAGACAGAACTACCTGAGAGATCAGTTAACTACGACTACTTGATCTGGAAGGACATCAGCGATGTGTGACGGTGGCGAATCAGAGGCAGAAATCAAGGGTGAGGATGTGACTCTGCCTGCCTAGAGTGCCCAGAGGATTAGCATGAGAGGTCAGTATTCCCTCAGCATTAGAACATTTGCTTATAATCAATGAGGGGCTGAGACTAGCCTAGAATCCCCCAGTGAGGGGCTGGGGTGTGGCTCAGTGGTAGAG